CTCCCCTTCCCTCCTCTTCCCTTCCCTTCCCTCCACTCCCCTTCCCTTCTCTTCCCTCCACTCCCCTTCCCTTCCCTCCACTCCCCTTCCCTTCCCTTCCCTCCCCTTCCCTTCCCTCCACTCCCCTTCTCTTCCCTTCCCTTCTCTCCACTCCCCTTCCCTTCCTTCAACTCTCCTTCTCTTCCCTTCCTTCCACTCCCCTTCCCATCCCCTCCCCTCCCCTCCTCTCCCCTCTCCTCCCTTTCCCTTTCCTTCCCTTCCCTCTCCTTTCCCTCCACTCCACTCCCCTCCCCTCCCCCCTCCCCTTCCCTTCCCTTTTCTTCCTTCCTTCCTTCCTTCCTTCCTTCACTCCTTCCATCTCTCTCTCTCTCTCCTTCCCTTCTCCTAGCCTTGTGCTCTGTCTTTCTGTCTCTGTCTGGTACCATACCTTCTTCTCCTTCCTGTCTACAAGACTTTCGGTCACTCCCACCCTGAGGCCAGCATCTCTTCCCCCCTGTGCTTGCCCGCCCACACTCCTGGGCAGAAGTCAGGAGGTGTTCTGTGTTCTCTGCTGCTCTGCCCTCCCCTAAGCACCTGAGCCAAGAGAAGATTGTTTCCGGAAGGCTTCCATCCAAGCTGCTTCAGGCCCAGGTCCTTTGCCACACTCCCTTCCCAGTGGCTCAGCTGACCTATGCTAATGCACAGAGCACAGATCCAGAACCTTGGCCAAAGTCAGTAGAGGGGTTGGCTCATGGATGCCCTCATGCTGAGTCTGGCAATCCAAAGTTTATGAGTTGTCTTTTTGCCCTTTCTCCCAGGGTCACTCTGTGTACTCAAGCTACCCATGAGTGGCCATGGGTAAATGCTATGACTTTACCTTTAGAAAGATGTCAGATGAGAAACTTGATGCATCCACAGCCGATGGAGCTGCCCATTCTTTGTAAACCCAGAACCTTGCACATGATAGGCAAGCACTCTACCACTGGCCTGTCCCTTGAGTCTGGCCCATTTATTTTAAAATCCATTCTGTTTTCTTATATAGAATGAAACATGGGCCTCTACTAAGTGTCTCATCTCTGAGGCCACAATTGATATATGGATGGAGTGCTTTCTTCATTTACGCATCCAACCAAGGGTGCCTGAGGATCCTTTATGTCTCTGAAAATAAAGTTGGTCCCAGTTTTGAGTGTTTGCAACTTTTTATTAAAGGGGGAAGAGCAGGCACAAAGGACTGTAAAAAAAATGTCTGAGATAATTGTTAAGAAAGAACCAGTGAAGTGACGTAGAATACAGATGTGTCCAGTGAAAAGAAACACAGAGTAGAGTGTATTGGAACTGAGTCTTGAGTTTTTATACAAACAAGCAAATAAACAGACTTTCCAATCTTTTGTGTGTTTGCAAAGCAGGGAGACTGGCTTTATTACAAAAAAAAATAATAATAATAACAAATGACTTCCAAACACATCTCTAAAGTGAATGTTGCCCTAACAAAAACTATTGGTCGGAGATTTAACCACTCTGTGCCACTGCCAAGCTCTGCTGACATTTTTAGTTAAAGTAGAAGTGTTCTGGGCTTAAGAAATGACTCTGCAGTGGTTAAGAGCATGTACTGCTCTTACAAACGACTGACATTTGAGTCCTAGCATCGCCATCCGGAGCTCACAGCCAGTGTAACTCCAGCTCCATGGGATCTAACACCCTCTATCTGGATTCCACAGGCATCCCTATTCATGTGTACAATCCCCAAACACACATGCAGAGAGATTTAAAAATAAATCTTTAAAGTAGGCTTTATTTTTTTTGAGAATTTCATACACAAGTACGACGTATTACATCATTTTCATACCTTCCTCTCCTCTCCAAGCCTGCTCCTGTTTCTACCCCTCTTGAATTTGTGACTTCTTCTTCTATAATTATTATTGTTGTTATGTATATAATGCAGACAGAGACACACACATACAAACACACGAAACTATTGACTACAATAGTGTTATCCACGTGTGCATGGATTTAGGGGTGACCACTTAGGATTGGAAAACCTATACAGGGGCTCATCCCTGAAGAACACTGATTCTCCTTCCTTCCCCAGCCATTGATGGTTTGCAACTTTTCTTCTGAGGGCAGGGCTATGTGAAGTCTTCCCCCATCTATGCTGAAATATCCTTCCCTCATCTATGCCGGAATATCAACTGATGAGGTCATTTTTATGGTCTTATGCAGGCCATCATATTGTTCATGGCACAGCATCCCCATCATATCTAGAAGACACTATCTCTCAGCAGGTGTTCTGGTCCTCTGGTTTTCTCATTTTTTTTCTACCTCCTCTTCCAAGTTGTTTCCTGGGCCTTAGGAGTATGAGTTGTGTTATAGATATACCAGTTATGGCTGGGTTCCCCGTGGCCACTTATATTTTGCATTTTGAGCACTAATGAAACTCTGCAGTGGCCTGTGTCTGCTGCAAAAAGAAGCTTATTTTATTAGGGGTGAGAGCTTATCTGTGGGTATAGCACTAAGTATTTACATTTATAATTATATTTTATATAATTTATATTTTATTATATATTATATAAAATTTATATAATTATATTTATATTATATTATAATTACAATTTAGGAAAATGACATTAGTAGGTTCTCTTCCAGGGTCTGTGACCTTTCCCACCATGGATATTACCTAGGTTTACCATATGGGTTCCTCCTATTGAGAAGGCCTTACAATGTGTTGGTAGAAGTAATATTGGAATGACAGCCGTCCTGTCAAAAGCAATTCACAGATTCAGTGAACCTTTGTTTAAATTGTTATAAAGACCTTCACAGGGATAGAAAAAATGTCATAAAATTCATATAGAAGCACCAAGAAGAAGAAGAACAGGAGGAGGAGGAGAAGAAGAAGAGAGAAGAGAAGAGAAGAGAAGAGAAAAGAAAAGAAAAAGAAAGAAAGAGAGAAAGAGAAAAAAAGAAAAAACCGAGATAGCCACATTCCTGAGCACAAGAATAATGTAAGATATATAATAATAACAACAGCATGGTATTAGCACAAAAACAGACATATAGATCAGTGAAAACAGAACAGAAGACCTAAACTTTAGTTCACATAATTATAGCCACCTGACATTTGATAAAGATGCCAAAAATACACACGGGGAAAGGGCAGCATCTTCAACAAATGATGCTGGGAAAACCAGATGTGCACATGTAGAAGAATGAAATTGGACCCATATCTATCACCAGGCACAAAATTCATATCCAAATGGATCGAATAGCTCATTGTGAAACCTTAAATGCTGAAACTGCTAGAAGAAAGCATATGGAGTATCCTAAGAGACATAGGCCCAAGAAAGGATTTTCTGAATAGGACTCCATTCTCTCAGAAGTTAAGGCCAACAATGGGCAAATAGGAACTCATAAAAATTAAAAAGAAAATATCAATTGAGTGCAGAGAAAGTCAGGGAGTAGGAGAGAGTCTTTGCCAGCCCTACATCTGAGAGGACATTAATATCCAGACTATATAAAGAATTCAAAGCACAGAAATCAAAAGAACAAATAACCCAACTTTGAAATGTTTTATGGAACTAAACAGAGAATTCTAAAAAAAAAAAAAAAAAAAAAAAAAAAAAAAAAAAAAAAAAAAAAAAAAATAGCCATAACTAAGAACTATCTTTAAGTGGTTTCTGTCTTTAGCAATCAAGGAAATGTAAATTAAAACTGCTCTGAGATTTCATCTTTTCCCAGACAGAATGGCAAAGATCAAGAAAATAGCTTGACAACAAATGCTGGTAAGTCTCATCCGCTGCTGGTGAGAGCACAAACTGATGCAACCACAGTAGAAATCAGTGTGGAGAATTCTCAAGATAAAAGTCAATCTATCAAAGGGTCCAGCTGTACCCGCTCCTTGGCATCTGCCCACAGGACTTTACATCCCACTATCGAGACACTTGCTCACCCGTGTTCATTCCAGCTGTAGTCACAATAGCGAGAAAACAGAAGCAGCCTAGATGTCCATCAACCAATGGACAGATAATGAAAATGTAGAACACACACACATAATGGAATTCTATTCAGCTATAAGTAAAAAAAAAATGGAATTTTCAGGTAATTGGATTGCACTACAAAATATACTGAGTGAGGTAACTCAGACCCAGACATGCTACATGTCCACTCTTTTTTGTGGATCCTAGTTCTGAATCCTTAGATGAAAATAGACGTATTTTAACCTGTCTATAAGCCTGATTCAAGGTTAAACATTATAAAGGCAAAGGAAAAAGGCACGGGGATTTAGAAGCAGGACACCTGGACTGTTCTGCATGTAATGTGCCATTTTAAGCAAACTCCTCTCTCAGCTCTCGGTCATATTCCCACATCACAACACTTTAATTATGTTTGATTCTCTCGGTCTTTCTTCATGACCTGTGTGTTCTTCATGCCTTGCATAAGGCTTTCTGTGTACTGCACATCAATTCTGTGTTTTTACAGGGAGAGGAAATATGGGAAATATTTTCACACATTTTGTAAATGAAGAATAAAAAAATGTTTAAGTATCTTTCAAGTACCATGTCTTTCCAAGTCACTGGGTGGAAAGGGGCAAAGTGAAAGACTTATGTGTTACAATGGTAAAAACCCAAACCACACCAACAAATAAGAATCTCTAGGGATCCTAGAATAGTAAGGTGGTACAATTAAATCCTATTTTATGAGCAGGGAGA